GACAGTGAGTGATTAAAGTGCTATTGCAGGTGTGGGCACTGAAATAGTGGGGCACTGGACATGTCTAAGCCAGCCATCAGGAATGCACTTCCGTGACTTGCTAAAGGATCATAGAGATGAAGTTAGAAATCAGAAAGATTGGTGCTTTGTGTGTTGCGGTGAAGGACCACAAGGGAGCTTTGAGGGGTGGTGGAAATGGTCCGCATCCTGATGACGCATTCCTGGTGCACACAGTTGTTGCAGTTTATGGAACTGCACTTAAGTTCTGTTTCACCATGTGCAGTATGTTGAAAAATATTTACCCCAGTAAAAAATTATAGAAGTGAAAACAATGTAAAGATTGTTGTAGAGAAGGGTTAGTCCTCTGAAGCTGTCTATGGATCCCAATCTGAGAAACAGCTGTTCTTGCCTGACTGGGAGGCAGTGCTCCAGGGAGGAGGGTCTCTCGTTCTCAGTCAACTTTTTGACAAGTCCAGTGCAATAGTGATCTTGGCATTGTAGCCTCTAGTGGCTGGAGAAGAAGTGTGTTGGAGGCATGGGAGAGCCTGGGAAGGTCAAGGCAGGGCATTTGGAAAGGGGACAAGGACAGGAGATGAGTCCCATCCATGTCGCTGGGTTCTGGTTCTGTTGTCCAGGAGCCCTAGGAGGTTTGTATGGGTGAGGTGGAAAAGTCAGACTTCAACCTAGAACCTAGTGGTCAAGAGGCTTGGGGCGGGTCCATCCCCATCTCTGGCATCTGGTGACAGTGATCCTGTCTCTCTGTGTCTCATTGCCCCTTTTGCCCTTAAAAACCATGTGCCTTAGTAGAAACCACCAATCTTGTGGCTTTTCGCCTTGTATTAGCTGAATAGTTGGGATTTCATAGCAACGCCTGAAACTTCTTTGTACATTCATATGCTTGTGCATCCTCAATGATAAAAATAAAACTTTCCTTCTCCCGTTTATATGGGTAAATAAACCATTGATAACTATGAGAGAGGTGTTAGGATTCCTTTACCGGGAGGAATGTTATCAGGCTTGGTGTTTCCTGGGCTTTCTGAGATGGTGAGGGAGTTTCTATTTCTCTGGTGTGGGAGTGTTTACGCATAGTTTTGTAGAGCTCTTTCTCTGGGGGAAAATCAGAGGTGACCACATTGAACGCACAGTTGGGTTTTTGGGTTGTGTGCATGTGATAGAGTGTGGGTGACTAATCTCCACAGGATGGAAACCATTGTGTCACGTTTGGAACACACCACGGTGGTCCCCAGAATGCTCTGTGGTTATTTCCACACTTTCCTGCACTAGCTTGGGTGTGGAACTGCCTGGGTGGGCTCTGTGACCATTAGGGGTAGGTCTCTTCCTCTAACTTGTCCCGCAGGTATGAGTGTGTGGAGCCCGGTTGCTTCCATTTCTCATGATCAGGATTGGATAGAGATGACTGTGAGCATTCACTTAGGATGGCGTCTCTAGATTTTACCTTCCAGGGATTCCTTCTGGGAAATGAAAAGCAAAGGCTTCACCTGGCAGTCCAAAGCAGCTCACTCTAAGGGATGCTTTGATGCCTCAATTGTGGAGACTTTTCTTTCTACTTCATAATACAGCCATGCTAACTCTAATAGCCAAATAATAACTTCCCCTAGAAAATCTGGGTCAAATTGGTAACCTAGGGAGATAGAATTTGGGATCTCTAGCTGTCTATAGCTTCTCCCTGGGAATTTGTGGATTCTAAGCCAGGATTTGTGTAAGTATGTAGGTTTAAAGTCTTTTCCATAAGCATGTGGTTCCATGGCTTTGTAAGTTTATGTTACCTTCTCTTTCAAACTAACATTTTTGTTTTTAACAATGATGGGGACTTTTTAATAGCTGTCTGAATTCTTATAACAAAGGAATAACACAGGAGGTCAAGGCTTCAGTGAGCTGTAATTGCACCACTGCACTCCAGCCTGGGCAACAGAACAAGATCCTGTCTCAAAGACAAACAAACAAAGGGGTAACAGGAGGATATCATAATTATGGGCTTGGCTTCAGTACTATAATAGATTCCCTGTACACATTTCCACTGATTTACAGTGGAACACATGGGCTGTGACATTTCATGAGCTAAAGAACCTGCTTTAGCCCTTGATTTTTCAGGGACTCATCCATGGCCACTTCTCAGTTATGGCCAAATAAGTTGGAGCCTAATTTCCTGATTATTTCTCCATGACATCAGATCTACACATATGCACACATTGGTTAGTATTAGGAATGAGAGGCTGTATTAAATGATGCTGTAAATGCATTAGCCCATCACTCCATGGGAAGGTAGAAGAGCGTGTTGTTGCTATCAGGTAGAAATGTAGAAAGTGTGGTGAGGATATTCTTGTAAATTTCAGATTGTGTCAGGTCCTTGGAAGAAGGAGGAGTCACCTGCTGTCTGTTCTCTTTTCTTGGGCCTCTGTAGAGGTTTGGCCCTGTGCCTCGGAGGGCTCTGTGCTGCAGCTTGGCCAAACACATCCCTCAGCATGGAGAGAAGTGTGGAAGGCCAAAAGGATGTGCCCACTTGGCCTAATCCTAACCCACCAGCTCCCCTGTTCTTAACCACGTCCCTCGTGTACCTGGGACCCCTGAATTCCCTCCCTAAACACCCTGGGCCCTAATTCCAGGGCCTGTGTGGTCATTTCCATGGACTCTACTACATGGTTCATAGACTGGCCAGGGCTGTTCAGAGGGGGATAGACATGGATGTGTGGACTTAGACGTCTACCTGTGTGCACACTCAGGGCCCCTCCCAATATGGGATGGAGCTGGGGAGAGGCTGGAGACAGAGAAATGGAGATGAATGTAGCTACACACAGCAGGAGCCATGTGGCGGGACTGCTCCATGCAGGTGTCACGGTGAGGATAGCGCAGCCTGTGTTTGGACAGATATAGAATGCCATGTGCCAGGATGAGCTTCCCCCAGCTCTGGGCACCTCTGTTGCCACTGTCCCCAGAAGTGGACCTCCAGGAGGTTTTGATAAGGGTGCATCTGCTGTGTGCCACCTTGCCTGTGCCTAGCTTCCATCCTAGAAGGCAGGGCTCACAATGTGGGGGAATTCCTCAGGAATAAGAATGAAGTTCCTCACCATTATGGGAAATTCCTCAAGAAAAAGAAGGTGTTTAATAAATGCATTGTGGCTACAGAGCAGGAAAAATACCCCCTTCCCCTGCACTGGGCCGTAGGCCTTGAGGAAGAAACCTGGGTTCCTGTGACAGCCCTCTCTCCCTAGCTGTCACTTTTCCTGTGCAGGCACTGGGTATGAAATTCCTTGCAGAGGGACAGGAAGGCGCTGTTGGATGAAGTCAATCCTTCCTGGAAGGGGGGTTTTTGTTGGGGGCCAATATGATCATTGTTAATTCTTGTACTTAATTTCTACTTTTATAATTTGTTTCACATTGCAGTTTCTCATTCTGGGTCTAGCAGGAAATTGCTTTATGCCTCAAATATGCATTTTCATTTTATCTTTAATCAACAAGTAACTTTGTGTGTGTGTTGCATGTGCTGCTGTAGTCATGTTGTGATACCTCAGTGTTTCCAAATACATCATGATCACCAAACAGCGATGGGTGCTGTGTTCCAGAAGATCTTCACAATCACGAGCTTTTCCATGTGATTGTCACATAAAGCCGTGCCGTGCTGCAGGGAATGGACAAGGCCTCCACAAGTGGGGCTGACCAGCCTAGGCCTTGGGTCACCCTGGGATCTGGCTGACTCCTTGGGTCTGGACATCAGCATCTGATGCTGATGCACTCCCTCCTGCCTTGTCTGGAAGCTGCTATGGGGAGGATGTTAGCCAGTCCAGGGGTTTCACACATAACATAGGCATCCTTGCTTGAAGGCTGAACAGGGGGAACCATACACTGTGGCTTCTTAATGTATTGAGTGAGTTAATCCTTTTCTCTTTCTTATTTTATGTGGAAAATTCCATCTGAAAAATAACACAGTGACATATTATCTGTGACTTTTTATTAATACTGGTATTTTCTAAAGTTACGTTGTAAATTATTTTTAAAAATTACAATGGACTTTGATGAACTGGTTATGAATAAGGGAGGCTTCTTTACCTAGCATGCCTTCTGGAGTAACATTTCTCAGTCTCTAGTCCTATTTCTGTAGTTTCTTCTCCTCTGGGTCATGCCCAACCCCAGCTCTTTCGACAGCCATCTGGGTGTGAGCCCTTTGTCTAACTCCTTGCAAAGGATTCCACTCTCTTATGGGATCCTGGCCATCTCCAGACCCCAGTGACGGTTCCCTTGCAATCCTATTATCTGACCTACATCCTATACCCTTATTCCATCCTTCCCCTTCTTTGATTCTAGGCTGGGTTTTCATCCCCATGTGTCTCATGCAAAGGTGGTGGGTAGGTAAGTAGGTGGATTCCTTCCCTCTTTCCCTCTATTCCTCCTTCCTTTCTTTCACAAGTATTTATTGAGCTCTTATGACAGACATGCAAGATGTGTAGGATGGGCCTCCTTGTGGGTATGGGAGAGGGGAGGGTCTACTCTGCACTGCTTTCTTCCCTGGCCCAGGTAGGGAATGCCAACAACTAGGGGAGCTGCCCAATATTGCCAGAGCCAGGGGGCCTAGAGCCAGCAGTTTGAGGCACCTTGGTGCATTGCACCAGGGAGAACCTGTGTCGCTCGTCACACCTGGCTTTGGAGGAGCGGATGTCTGCAAGGGCCTTGGGAGAAGCTTCTGATCAGAATCACCTCTGAGATGGTCAGAAATCCCAGAAGCTGCCAGGCTAGGAATGGAAGAATTGACTACCAGATCTGTGAAGTGCCATAGAGGTGCATGGAAGTGGAATGGCACAGTGCTTATAAACGGCAAGGCGGGGAGCCAGGGCTAGACACAGACCCACCTGGACAGTGAAGGCGGAAGAGTAGGGGGCACTGATCCTCATCCCAGGGGTCAGGCAGGAGGGGCGGTGGGACGGCCAGGTGCTGGAGAGATGTCCAGCGGGCTAGAGACGGAGGGGTCCTGGCATAGAGAACCTAGGAGGGGTGGTGGCCTGGGCAGTGCATCTCAGAGGAGCAGCAAGCTTAGAGGGCACATGGTGGTCGCTTCAACAATGGATGAGGGATGGAGACAGTGAGTATATAAATTCTTAAGTGAAGTTTCTGGGGGAAAAGGGAGGGAAAATCGGGCCATTAGAAGAGAGTGGGGAGTCACCTTCTCTGCAAGAAACTTCCTGGGCCTCCCAAATAAATCCATCCCTCACACCCTCCTCCCTCCTCCCCCTCCCCCATTCCATCCATTTTGGTGCTATTCACTATATAATTCCCAACAGCCGCTGTCATATCTGGGGCACACTCACAGAGGTCAGTCAGGAGAGCACTGTCTTAGGCTGGGGAGTGGGAGGATGTGGGGGTCTCCCCTTTGAGATTGTGCTATATGATTCCTATTGATGGGCCAATGCACCTCTGATACCTTGTGTTATGCTGTGTACTGCCTAAAAGTGAATAATAGCTTGTAATTTAGTTTGTGTAGTCTAAGGAAAATATTTCGTGTTGAATTAGTCAGGCTGTTTTATTGATGGGAATTAAAAAACCTTATGCTTAGGTCTTACAAGCTTTTCAAAGGTCCAAAGGAATGATTCAGATAAGAAAAAAAATTGAACTCCAAATGCTAAAAGAAAACCACAAAAACAGGTGAATAAATGGTGAAAGATCTGTAGGACATTGCAGAAGGGCTACCATAACTCAGCTTTTTGAGGTTGACTTAAATTACGTGATATGGGGTGCAGGGATGTTAATGTGCTTGGTAATAGAAGAATGAGGATACCGCCTCTAAAACAAAGCCTGCTTGTTTTTTCTGGCCTCTGGTGCATTTCTCTCTGGCAAAGCTCAAGCTCTGTTTTCATGTGCATTGACCCATGACATCCCTAGAGGTGGTTTGATTCGTTTCTGCACCTGGTCTCTAGCAAAGTGCCATGTGCACATGTTTAACCAAAATAGCTTGTGGTTGTCAAGCTCTTTGTATTCTTCCCTCCCTGTGATTTGATTTCCTGAAAGTATTCTGTCCCAAGGATTATGGGACATATACTTGTTAAACATTGGACTCATTTTCATGGCCATTTAAATGTCATGACCTTTCTGACACCTTGATATGGTTTGGCTCTGTGTCCCCACCCAAATTTCGACTCAAATTATAATCCTCATGTGTCCAGGGAGGGACCTGGTGGGAGGTGATTGGATCGTGGGGGAGGTTTACCCCATACTATTCTCATGCTAGTGAGTTCTCATGAGATCTGAAGGTTTAAAAGTGTTTGGCACTATGCCCCTTGCTCTCTCTCTCTCTCTCTCTCTCTCTAGTGCTGCCATGTAAGACATGCCTGCTTCCACTTCCACCATGATTGTAAGTTTCCTAAGGCTTCCCCACCCATGCAAAACTGTGAGTCAATTAAACCCTCTTTCCTTGATAAATTACCCAGTCTCAGGTATTTCTTTATAGCAGCATGAAAATGGACTAATACACACCTTTTGAGATCCTCACAGCAATTGGTGCCTTTAGACCTCTTCGTTCACGCTTCACTTGTGTGTTCTACCTTCCCCAGGTAGATGCACCTGCTGAAGATGGTGACTCCCTCCTGAGAAGCTGGACTCCTTGGTAAAAGTCAAGGCCTTCTTTAAGGTAACAAAGCTGGGTCATCCTAGGGTCTGACGGCCGGCCTTTTCTCACAAACAGCTGAACTCCTCCACCCTCAGATCTAGGGGGCCCTGAACTATGTCCCATTGTATGCAAAAATATTTTATTTCTGTTGACACATTACACTTTGGGGCAGCTTGATGGTTTTATTAAATTTTGGAAGGTGGCTTCAGCCCCAGTAAGAGCCAACGCCTGTCCTCTTTCCCAGGTCACGTTGGCTGTGCTTCGGTGGAGACCTGCAAAATGGTGGGTCCCAGTGCTGCATCCAAGCTCTCCCCAATTTCAGCCCCTTCCAGGCTTTGCTGTTCATTTTCACTCCACTGTCACCACGTGCTCAAATTCTTGCTTTCTGCTTGAGTCAGTACTGCCTACCTCGTCCCAAGAGACCTGGGTCTATGATGCTGTGGGTGACACCCTCTGAGCATCTTTCCCGAACTGTCTGTGGGTACCTGAACCTGCCCCCCAACCTGGCCCTTGCTCTCCCTGGCCCCAGCTCAGTGAGTTTGGCCCAGTTGGTCCCTGCTTCTCCCCTCTGGCCCTGAGTGTTCTCAGATATGCCCCCTCCTGCCTGTCTGTCACTACGGCTGGCCCACCCTTCATCCTCTCTCCCGTGGACCTTTGTGGTGGCCTGCTCTCCCCAGCTCCCCTGTCTCCAGTTTATATTCCACACAGGTGCCAAAATGTCTACAAAAAATGGAGATCTAACATACACCAGTCCGTGGCTTAAAATCCATACCTACTTCTCTGCCACATGCAAATGACAGCCTGAGTTCCTCAGCCAGCCTCCGCATGTTGTGGGAACCTGTGGCGTCTCAGCCTCCCCGTCAGAACCCACCTCTGGTTTATGCTCCAGAACATGATATAGTTGGATCCTCCCCTCTTCCTCCCCCAGACTGAGTTAGCTCCTGTCTCCCCTCCTGCCCTGGTCATGGCTTTTCCAATAGACACCCCCACGTTATAGTCTAACTCTGTCTCCACATTCCCTGAGACTGCCGAGCTCCTGGACCCAGGCCCTGGGACCCTTGTTCCTATTTTTGTTCCCAAAGCCAAGTAGATATTTGATATATGATTGTTGAATGCAGCAATGAGTGAATAAAGAAATGAATGGTTAACTGAAAACATTTTATGAAAACTGTTATTTGTCATCAGAGCATGGGGCGATTTGCAATAGCTAGCATTTGGGAGTGACCATTTGACAGGCACCTTTCTAAGCCCTTTGCATGTGGTCACTCATTTTACCCACATAGCACCATCAGTGACAAATGCTGCCATTACATTGCTTGTCAAAAGGGGGAACTGAGGCATGGAGGCTGAGCTTTTACTCAACATGTTATCTATGTTGAGGGACTTCTGACTTGGATAGCCATTCAACTGTGAGCACTATAGAGGCCGGTCAGGTCTGGCCCTGCCTTAGAATTTCTGGGTTTTTCAAGGGCATAATGGGGTCTGTGTTGACTTTTGTTGGGAGTGTGTGGGTTAATCTAGGTGCAACCCTCACCTCCTTCCCTTCTGATCTCCTCACTCCCTTTGGTCACGTGATCCTTAACACCCATCCCAAGCTCAGTGTCAACTCTTTGCCCCAGGGTCCTGGGGATCTATGACATGGATTCCAAAAGCCCACTGATGAGGGGACATGGCCACTCCCACCCCTCTGACTGTTTCCCAGAGCAGCTCTGGGGCAGAAGTAAACTTGGACTCAGGGGACATGGCTCTTCACCTTTTTATAGTTTATTAGAGGAGGATGGGGTCCAACATCAGCTGGTTCATTGCCCATCATGCAGATGAGCACACTGGGGCCCAGGGAGAGTCGTGTCCAATATCACCCTGCCTTGTGGTACAGGCCAGTGGCCTTGGACCTGTGATTAAACATTGTCCACAATTAATTTGGATTTATATCTCATGATACACTCCATAAAGTTCAGTCAGACATCTTCTTTTTCTTCTCGCCTGCCTAACCATCAAACAAGCCAGATCTTGTAACTAAATGAACCAACAGCTGGCAGTGTTCAGTTGACTTTGCAATGCCCTTATTTTGTTGTTGATAAACTAATGCATGTAGCAGATTGGCCTGGAACTGGTGACTGGGAAACATTTTAACCCTTTCTTTCCTTCTTCTCTATCATAAAGACTTAAAACACACTTCATGCAATCACAGAAAGAGTTCATAGACCAGGATATAGGGCTTCAAAGGCTTCAATCTTATTTAATCATCTGAATATAGTTTAAAGGTAAAGATGGTAATAATACTAGTATTCTAGACTGTTTTGGGAAGACAATTAATGTGAATAAAGGGTCAGAGTTAAAGGATATTGAAGGAATGCAGTTTTACTGCTCTGAGATAGGTTTCAAGGCTTGAGCCAGACTCAGGGATCATCGTCCTGATACTGGGGATAAAGTGAAGAGAATATGAATGGGTATGTTTCACATGCTTAGAAAATCTTTCTTCCCTGTATTTGTTTAAAAAGCACGTTGCAACTTAAAAAAAATACCTATATACTTTTTTTTTTTTTTTTTTTTTTCTGAGATGGAGTCTCATTCTGTTACCCAGGCTGGAATGCAGTGTCACTTTGGATTGATCTTGGCTCACTGCACCTCTGCCTCCTGGGCTCAAGTGATTCTCCTATCTCAGCCTCCCAAGTGGCTGGGATTATAGGCACACACCACCATGCCCAGCCAGTTTTTGTATTTTTGGTAGAGACAGGGTTTCACCATGTTGGCCAGGCTTGTCTTGAACTCCTGGCCTCAAGTGATCTGCCCACTTTGGCCTCCCAAAGTACTGGGATTACAGGGGTAAGCCACTGTACCCGGCCATAATACACCTTCATAAATAGAACATTTTCCAGCTAATATTCAAATGACTGGATGTTGTTAGAATCTGAATGAATATTGTGTTAAAATGTTTTATGTTTTCCTATTTATTAACTTATAGCTACAGATAAGAATATAGGCAAGTTTAATCTCATGTAAAAATTAAAAGGCAGATGTTTTCAAAGCACAGAATTACATGGTCTACTCTAGACATTGCCCCTAGGTTGAGCAGAAAGGATAAGAGTTTTTTCTCTTTTTTCCTTTCCTTTCTCTTTTTTTCAGACAAATTTCATTGTAGATATTTTAGAAAGTATAGAAAGCCCCAACAAGGGGAAGCCCACCCAACCCAATTTGAATATGTTGTTATCATTTCTTTTAGTCTTTTCTGGTGCATTTCTATGTAGCTATATCCTATCATACAAGCAATTTATTATCTTGCAATATAAAATGAAGTCATGACCTTTGAGCTGGCCTAGAAAGTGGGTCCTGGCAGCAGGGCACATTCCATGTGGGGAAGTAGGTTCATTATTTTCATTCATCCCAGGAGACATTATTAAGGGCTTGTGTTGCTAGCACAGTGCTGGGTGCTGTGGGTGCAGAGGTGAGCAGGCCTTGATTCCTGTTGTCATGAGGTTTTCTGGCCAGGACAACTGCAGCACAATGTGCTCTGGGCTGTGGCAGGTGAACACACAGGTTGTTGAGGGCTCAGAGGAGGAAGAAGCCAGGCAAGGGGTCTGGGGGGGTTCCTTGGAGCCAAGATGCAGACAGATGTGGGAGGTAGTCAGGTGAAATGTGGAGGGAATAGAGAAGGCAGTGTCTCTGAGGCTGGAGCACCTGCCCAGGTGAGGCCTGAGTGTGGAGTGTGCTGGGGGACTTGGGGTGTGGAGAGGCAAGTCAGAGCCTCTCCATGAGGAAGCCGTAGGCTTTGCTGGGGAGTTTGGAGTACTTGTAGGTGCACTGGGGAGCCAGTGAAGGTGTTTTGAGCAGATCATATGGTGATAGGTAGTTTGTAGGCTTTGGGTTGACTGAAGGCATAAATCTGCAGGCAGAGAGCCCAGTAGGGAGCCTGTTGCCATAATGAATCCAGGCAAGAGCTGGAGATTGCGTTAGCTAAAGCGGCATCACCAGTGGCCATGAGTGAACTGGGGTGGCGGGGTGGGCATGATGATCTAAGGAGACAGACTGCTAGGGAGAGAGCACAGCTATGCAGGGCAGTGGTCGCAACATCATTTATCCCTGGTCTCTTGTTGAGCTATCCCAGTAGGTTCAGAGCAGTGCTGTGCCCGTCACTGCAGTAGGGAGCATGGGGTGAGGTAAATTTGGTGGAGTGAGAATGGGTTTGGTCTTGGGGGCTATTGAATTTGAAGTACACAGGGGCCTTTGAGTAAATTTGTGCAAAATTCACCTGGAGGCACAACACTGGAGTTTGTGTATCATCACAAGGTCTGTGTTCAGGAGCAGGACAGGAACGCTCAGGAAGAAAAAGGCTATACTGAATATTAATGTGGAAAGGTAGACAAAATAGGATTATTTTTTCTTTTACATTCACTTGATACTATTTTGTAGGTAAAGCCATTGGCATGCTCTCCCTGTAGACTTGCTGTATTGGGCAAGTGCCTAACCTGATTCTGCCCCCTGCGATGTATGTGGACAAGCCTTATGTAATTAAATCAATCAGTTACCAGGACCTCAGTTTAACACGTAGTCCTGTTGCTAACCCATTATCTGTTGTAGCTGATGCTGTGTTGGTGGGGACTTTTAAACTACCAGGGAACTGTGGAGATTTTCCTCTTTTCCTTTCTAGTCCCTTTTTTTTCATAGAAAGTTAATTGTAGATATTTTAGAAAGTACAGAAATCCCAGACAAGGGGAAACTCACCCAATCCAATTTTAATATGTTATCAATTCTTTTAGGTTTTTTTTTTTGGTGATTTCTATATAGCTATATTGTATTGTGCAAGCAATTTAGCATCTTGAAATATAAAATGGAGGCTGGCCTAGAAGTGTGGGTTGATTTTGCAAGTGGGTCCTGGCAGCAGGGTACATTCCAAGTGGGGAACAAATCCACACAAGTGGAGGTGAGCTGGCTTAGGGGTGAGTGCATAGCTGACTTCGGATGTAGACTAGATTTGGGGAAATTTAAACAGGATGCAAGACTGGAAATGTATAATGGGGCAGCAGATGAAAATGTTTAAAATCCTAAGTCATTGAGCTTGTTCTCAATTTTTTGAAAACTCTTTATCCCTTTTTGTCCCCGTCCCATTCTCTAACCAGAAGTTAAACATGGTAACATTCATGATGTAGAAAAACTAATCAGTGTGACTTGGGGGTGAGGGTTGGAACAGGGCGGGTGTTGACATACTTAGTTTTAGAGATTTGTTGGAAAAGTAACATTTTTGCTTTTGTCTTTCTTTCATTCCTCCATTTCTCCAGGAGAATATGAAAGTGTTACTCAGACTTACTTGTTTCATAGCTCTCCTGATTTCTTCTCTGGAGGCTGGTAAGTTAACTATTTCTTTGTTCCTTGTCTGCTAAGAAAATCTGTTATTTAGAATACATGAAGTACCTTCCCTAAGAGAGTCATTTCTCATACTCGTTTCTGTTGAATCCCTGGGCAGAGAGCCTCCTGATCATAGACCTGTACTGCTGGAAGTTCCTCTCAGCATTTTCCTCTTGTTCTCTCACATATAGACTGGGAAACTGAGGCCCAGTGAGGTTAAGGGCCCCAGGACATGTAGATAGTTTTGGAGCAAAAGCTAAAATCTAGGTCTCCAATCTAAGGCCAACCCTCTTTCCACTTGGCTGTTGTTTGAAAGTGTGATACAGAGGAAATTCTGACTTTCATTTGAACGAGACATTATGCATACTCTTTATGAACCCACAGTTGGAAGTCATCAAACTACAGTTCTTTTTCTTTTTCTTTGCATTTCTTCATTTTCTCTTATCACTTCTCTGTGTGCCAGATGTTAGCCGCTGGGGACACAGCAGGGAATAGTCCAGATAGAAATACCTGCCTGCATGGGGTTTATATTCTTGTAGAAGAGAGAGATAACACTTAAGTAGATATATATTGTGTCATATGATGACAAATATAGGGAGGAAAACAGAGTATAAGATTTTGGAGCCGGGCACGGTGGCTCAAGCCTGTAATCCCAGCACTGTGGGAGGCCAAGGCGGGTGGATCACGAGGTCAAGAGATCGAGACCATCCTGGTCAACATGGTGAAACCCTGTCTCTACTAAAAACACACACACACAAAAAAAAAGATTTTGGAATTTGAGTGGGCAGAAGATTAATTTTTTGTGTGTGGCCAGAAAAAAACCTCACCGAGCAGTTGACTTTTGAGTGACCTTAAGGAAGGGGAAAAGAGAGCTATTTGGATATCAGATTAGGGTGTGGAAATATTCCAGGCAGCATGTGCAAAGGTCCATAGGCCAAGAGTATTTGGCATGCTTTCGGAATGAAAATATCAGTGTGGCTGGAGCACAGTGAGAGATGGGGGAAGTCATAAGGAACCAGGCTATCTGGGTAATAGGTGGATGGCAGAGGGTTGATTATGTGGATTGTTACACCCGTTCTAAGGGTCTTGGCTTGTGGTCTGGCTGAGATGGGAAGACTGCAGAGTTCTTTGTTCAAAACCAGAGAGGTGATCTGACTGACACTTTGATTCCTGTTTTGAGAATAGATCCGAGGGAGCCAAAGAGAGAAATAGAGAAGCCAGTTAAGAGGTAAGCCATGATGATGGCTTTTTCTAAACAAGAAATGTTGATGGCTTGTCAAAGGGTGGCAAGGAGAAATGGGAAGTAGTCAAATTTTGAAATGTTTTGGGAACAGAACCAAGAGGGATTTGGAGTTGGGCTAGATGTGAGGTGTGAAGAAAAGAAGAATCAAGAATGATCTCAGGGAATTTTGGCCTGAGCAAATGCAAGGTGAAATTTCCATTGATGGGACAGGGAAGATCAAGTTTCCATACTGGACATGTTAAGTTTAGCTGTCCATTAGATGTTTAAATGGTGACTTTGACTAGGCAATCTTCAGCCTGAGGGAGAGGTCTGAGTTGAATATATAAAATTGGAGACCTCAGCAAGCGGCTAGTATGAGAACCATGAGACTGAATGGGATCATGGATTGTAGTTAGGAAAGATAAGAACTTTAAGGACTGAGCCAGAGATTGCCTTAAATTCCTTGGTCCAATAAGTAAGTTTTCTCCCCTTTGCTGAGGGGCTCCATGTGTGTTGGAGCATACCCTCAACGTTAAGGCTGTTTACAGCTCTGCCTTAGCTTTCACTTCCTGTTTGTGTATGACCTCAGAGTCATCCAGAAATGAGAGCCTTGGGCCTTGTCTGCAGTTTCCTGGGCATGCACACAACCCTGTATACATGGGCATCTAGGGCATCTTTCTAGGTTCCCCAGGAACGTGTCAGAGCTTTTCAAAGCCCTCTGGTGGTTATGGCTCTGGTATTACAGCCTTAGGCAGTTGCAAAAAAACAACACTGAGTTTTTCCAGCAAACATCTTGGGGATAGTGCTTTTCCTGTGGAGCTCTTGGTGAGGTCAATAACAACACCACCCTATGAACGTTCCTTTGAAGACCTGCCATTCAAGTCAAAGAGTGGCAATGCTTTGGGAACCGGACTTCTTGAGGAGCTCCAAAACTTCTCTGTTCTTGCACACCTGCTGGTTTTCAAAGCCTTTGTGTCTGCAAAACTCCTGATACTCATGGCTGTTGTAGAGCCAGGAAGAGTAGGATGGGAGTCATTTAAGTTATAAAGCTACAAACTCTGCTGATCTACTCTGATTTGGCATGTTTCTGTTTATTTCCTCATTTTCTAATAAATGCTTTTCTGGTTATTACAAGCCTGTGATTTTTTGAAAATTTTTTGCCAGTCTTTTTGTTGCCATTATTGAGGAATGATTTATGAGACCCTCATTTCACCATATTGGAAATCTTGCAAATTCAATTTCTTTGAATAAAATATTGTATTAATAGATAATAGGGCAATTTAGGCTATCTATTTCTTCTCAGGGGAGCTATAGTAGTCTGGAGAATTTGCTCATTTCATTTATGTTATTGGCATAACATTGTTTATAATATTCGCTCACTACCCTTTGCAAATTATTTTAATAAAAGATGTCATCTCTTTTTTCTTTTCTTGATTAGTCTAGCTAAATATTTATTAATTTTATTGATTTTATGAAAGAACCAGCTTTTGGTATCTCTGGTTTTTCTTCATTGTTCTTGTTTCCTATTTCGTTGATTTCCTCTCTGATCTACTATTTTCTTACTTCTTCTGCTATATTAATCATGTTTTTTAATTTCTATATCTTACCATATTTTGACATTCTGGTAGGTTTTTCATACCTAAGGAGGGGCTGACCCTCCTAAGGGCTAAGCAGTTCCTAAGTGTGTTGTGAACAGCTTACATGGGGTGTCCTGCCCTTCATGCGAGACTGTCTGACCCAAGACTGTGCCCCACTCATCTCCTTATCCAACTCTCAGACCTCAAACCAATATTACCCCAGCTTCAGTCAACCCAGGGCCAGGTACCAGAGAACTAGGGACAGGCTCTATGCTCACAGCCTGCAAAAATGGTTCAAATGGGCCAGTCTGAAGCTGTTTATGCTGCCCTGCCTTGCCTTTCCCAAGGGAACCCCAGTAAAGACTCTGGCCTAAGCTTTCTTTTTGTTTCTGCCTCTGCCTTCGAACCCAGTCTGGTGAAGTCTGGTGATTTTCCCTGTGGTTTTGCGTGGTATAGCATATCCCTTCTTTTTAAGCCATTAAGTAATTCAAATCTTTCAGTGGCATTAGCCTCTGTTTTGTCACTCAGTCCCCTTTGTAAATGAAGACCCAGGTATAGAATCTCTGCTTGCTGCTTACTTTGGATGTACTTTGTTCTTATTCTAGGTTTTAAGGTAGAAGCTCAAGTCATCAATTTGAGATTTTTTAAAAAAATATGCATTTAGTGCTAGCAATTTTCCTCTAAGTACTGCTTTCATTGAATGCCACAAGTTTTGATCTGTTATGTTTTCCTTATCATTCAGATAAAAATACTTTATAATCTTTTTTATTTCTTTTACTCATGTTATTTAGAAGTATGTTAGTTTTCAAATATATAGGGATTCCTTAGATATCTTTCTGTTACTGATTTCTAATTTAATTCCATTGTCACCAGAGAATAAGTTTTGTCTAATTTTAAACTTACTGAGTCTTGGGTTATGCAGAAGAATATGGAAAATTTGCTGAGTTTTGTGTGTGCACTTAAAAAAGAATGTAACGTTCTACTGTTATTGGTTGGAATTTTCTGCAAATATCGATTATGCCAAATTGATTGATAGTGTTGTTCAAATCTTCTATATTGTGACTGATTATCCGTTTAATTGTACTGCTTGTTCTGTCAGTCCTTGTGAGTGGGGTTTCTCTAGTTTCTTGCAGAACTAGTTTCTCTAGTTCTTGCAGTTCTATCAGTTTTTGCTTCATGTATTTTGAAGCACTGTTGGCAGGTGCATAAACATTTAGTATTATTATGTTCCTGTTGATGAATGAATTCTTTATTTTTTATTTTTATTTTTTGAGGCAAAGTCTCGCTCTGTCAACCAGGCTGGAGTGCAGTGGCGTGATCTTGGCTCACTGCAGTCTCCGCCCCCTAGGTTCAAGCAATTCTCGTGCCTCAGCTTCCCGAGTAACTAGGATTACAGGTACCCGCCACCATGCCTGGCTAATTTTTTTTTGTATTTTAGTAGAGACGGGGTTTTATCATGTTAGTTAGGCTGGTCTCAAACTCCTGACCTCAGGTGATCCACCCACTTCGACCTCCCAAAATGCTGGGATTATAGATGTGAGCCACCACGCCTGGACAACTTCTTTATTTTTATGAAATGGCCCTTTTCTCTTGTAATATTTTTACTGTAAAATCTACTTTGATAATATGATAGGCACTCAAGCTTTCACTAATTACTTTTTATTAAGGCATAGTTGACAAAATCATATATATTTACAATGTACAATGTGATGTTTTGGTATATGTATATATTGTGAAATAGTTACCCCTAGCTATTTAATCTAACTTTCTTTTCATGAGTGTTAACATGGCAAATCTCTTTTCTTTTCTTATTAATCTATTTTTATCTTTATTTATAAAATCTGTGTATGTAGATGTACGTGTTTATGTGAGGTACCACATAGTTAGGTCTTTCTTTAGCCAATCTGATCATTTCTGCCTTTCAATGAGCGTGTTAAGCCTATTTGAAATTTTAGTGTGATTATTCATATATTAGGGTTTAATTCTTGGATCTTGCTATTTGATTTTCTATTTGTCCCATCAATTCTGTTATTTTTTTCTCTTTTTTGCTGCCTTTTGGATTAATTGGCATTTTTAGGATTCATTTTACTTCATTTGTTGGCTTATTAGTCATAAGTTTGTTATGTATGTGTTTTTTAACGACTGATCTGGGGCTTAAATAGCTACTTAGACTCTAAGTTATTTCTGTCTGCCTTCAAGTGACCCTATATGGTTTCACATATAGTATACAAAGTTAAAATAGTATATACCCATTTCTCCTTTCTTGAACTTTGCCCTATTATTTCCATATATGTTACTTCTTTACTTGTTATAAACCTTATAGCATTTTATTTTTTTATGTAAACACTGTTATCTTTAAAGAGATTTAAATAATAAGAAAGATGATCTTATAATTGCCCATGTAGTTAACATTTTTGTTGCAATTCATTCTTTCGTGTAGATTCATTTTATTCTTAGAATATTGTCCTTTCTGAAGGACTTAAGTATTTCTTATAATGCAGGTCTACTGTTGATGACATTTTACAGCTTTTGCAAATCTGAAGAAGTCAGTATTTTTTTCTAACTTTTGAATACATTTTCACTGGATAGGGAATTCCAGGTAGACTTTTTCTTTCAGTACTTTAACAATATTGTTTTACTATCTTCATTCTTATACTGTTTTTGGAAAGAAGGCTGCATCATTTTTGTCTTTGTCCTCTGCAATAATTGTGTCATTTCTCCCTGGCTACATAGAAGATTTTATCTTTGTTACTGGTTTTAAACAATTTGATTATTATGTGTTTGGAGTAGTTTTCTTTATGTTTCTTTTGCTTGGGGTTCATTGTGATTTGGGGGACTATGTATACATCATTTTTGTCACATCTTGAAAAACTTCAAATATGTTTACTGTTTTCCACGTTTTTCTTCTTCAGTGATTCATATTACATGTATTGAAGTCCTAAGCTAAATAATTCCCTGTCGATTTTATTCTGTTATTTTCTTCTCTGTGCTTAATTTTGGATCATTTCTAGTGCTGTGTCTTCAAGTTTACTCATCTTTTTTTTTTCCTGCAGTATCAAATCTGCCATTGATCCCATCCATTGGTTTTTGTAACTCAACATTGTTGTTTTCATCTCTAAAAGTTTCTTTTTAAATCTCTTTCATGTCTTCACTAATCATGTTTGATCTTTCCTCTAGCATCTTTAATAAATGGAATAAAATAGTAATGGACTATTTAAATTTTTAAATTTATTAAGTCTATTGTCTGTGTCATTTCTGGGTCAGTCTGATTGACTGATTTTTTCCCTCCTTATCATTGGTTCTATGTTACTGCTTCTTTGCATGCCTAATGATTTTTTTGGATGTTAGACATTGTGGATTTTATTATGTTGGGTGCTGGATATTTTCATATTCCCCAAAATGTTCTTGAGTGTTGCTCTGCCACATGACTGTTACTTGGAAATGGTTTAATCCTTTCGGGTCTTGCTTTTAAGCTTTATTAGGATCAGGAAAAAGTTTATTCTAGGCCTAATTTCCCCTAATTACTGAGTCAGAACCCTTCTGGGTACTCTGAGGCCTTATCATTAATGAGACTTTCCACTCTGGCTGTTGAGAACAGCGTTTCCAGCATTGGGTGTTCTCCAGGTGTTACTCCCTCCAGTCATTTTGGCAATTGTCTCTCTAGCCTTGAGTCATTTTCTTACATTCTTACACTGACTGATAGCTGAAAAACTGGGGGAGACTCTCAGGTATCCTCAGACTCTTTCTCCCTGTCCTCATGCAGCTCTAAGTACTTGGGTACTCTGTCCTGCAAACTTGGTCTACTCAGGTTCTCAGCTTCATCTCCTCAGCTCACTGGGCCTTGCCTATGTTTCTTCTCAGCAGTGTCATGGCCTGGCTATAATTTTGGACAATGGGAGGGCTCACCTCCTTTTTCCCTCATCTTTCTGGGGTTTCTGTCCTTTGTTTTCTGATGTTCAGTGTCTTGAATAGTGTTGTTTCATATACATTGTCCATTTTTTAGTTGTTCATGTGGGAAAGTAAATCCAGTTTCTGTTGCTCCATCTTGTACTGAAATACATCTCTCTCCTTCTACCTTCTCCCCACTTTTTAGATGAATACAAAGGGGGTGAAGGAGGTTACATAACTTGCCAAAGGCACAGCACACAGGCAGTAAGTGACACAGCTGGACTTGAACATGCTTCTCAGACTCCCAAGATAATGCTCTTATCACAAGGCTGTAAAGCTTTTATATGTAATGTGAATTGATGTGTTTAATAATCGATATATTTCATTGTAGATATTAAATTAAGAGATGCTGGCAAATTTTATATATAAATTGCTTACCTCCTTCTCCCTTTTAAAGATAAATGCAAGGAACGTGAAGGAAAAATAATTTTAGTTTCATCTGCAAATGAAATTGATGTTCGTGCCTGTCCTCTTAACCCAAATGAAAACAAAGGTACCATAACTTGGTATAAAAATGACAGCAAGACACCTATATCTACAGAACAAGCCTCCAGGATTCATCAGCACAAAGAGAAACTTTGGTTTGTTCCTGCTAAGGTAGAGGATTCAGGACATTACTATTGTGTGGTAAGGTAAGAAAGGAATTAGTATGTTACAAACATGTATTCTGGGTTCCTGTAGTCATTAAGGACAGAAATACTTTTAATAATGCTCAATTTACCTATTTTATTTTAGAAATTCATCTCACTGCCTCAAAATTCAAATAACTGCAAAATTTGTGGAGAATGAGCCTAGCTTGTGTTATAATGCACAAGCCATATTTAAGCAGAAACTACCCATTGGAGGAGATGGAGCACTTGTCTGCCCGTATCTAGAGTTTTTTAAAGATGAAAATAATGAGTTCCCTAAAATGCAATGGTATAAGGTAATTTTATTTTAAATACGATATTTTACTTTTCTGGAAAATAATATAGTTCCCGGGACAATAGGATGAATCTGCAAATTATCTTTTTAATTTGCATATTGTTTTCTCTTTAATGGTGAAACTTAATAGAGAATCTAAAAAGAATTGTAAGACTGCATTCACTTAATTTGAAGCTTAAGTAGAAACTTACTTGCTATGGTTTTTATTTAATTTAATAAGATGTATTTTAGAAAAGTAACAGAAATAGATGTTTAAAGAGAAGGCTGACTATAAACTTAAGGTATGTAAGATATAACTATTTATTACAAAATACATTTTGTGTATCTTACTAAAGATATGGTCTTCAAATAACCTGCTAGTTTCCATAACTGTCTTAAAAGTGGGTTGACTAGCTTTCTGTGGAACAGGCCATGTTTTGGTACCTTAAATCTACCTAGTCTGGTGGAACTTAAATAGGGAATCATCTTGTAGTGCTTAAGACATACTAAATAAATCATATCAGTGAGGAAATGAAGTGCAGTATAGTTAGGAAACTATATAGTGTTAACGTTTTCTTTCAAACATGTTTTTCTTGCAGAATAAATTGGTCTTCACTTATGTTCATAGCACAAGGCTCACAGACTTAAAAACTTAATGTCATAGGAATATACTTAACTGTTTCCAAAAAAACAATATTAAAACTTACTGTATGTAAGGAACTTTTCCAGTCACTTTCTAAATATATAGCATTTGCTAATGTGAAAAAAATGGAGTTCCTTTGGCTGGTAGATCGGGAAAAGTTACTAATTGGTTTTCAATGCTTCTCTCTCCCTTTTTCTAGGATTGCAAACCTCTACTTCTTGACACTATACACTTTAGTGGAGTCAAAGATAGGCTCATCGTGATGAATGTGACTGAAAAGCATAGAGGGAACTATACCTGTCGTGCATCCTACACATACTTGGGCAAGCAATATCCTATTACCCGGGTAATAGAATTTATTACTCTAGGTGAGTCATAGTTCCAGCCCTAGAACTTCCCAGTTTAGATCTGGGAAGGCCCAGAGACTGTGATTCTAATATTACTTTCATTGTCCATAAAGAAACTAAATCCAAGACGAGCTCAATGATACCACAAAAGTCATATGGCTTTAGTTTTGTTTTTGTGTTACTAAATACTATGTAATGTTTTCCATTCCTGCTTCAGATGTAGTGCTAACTAAATAGAGACATTATGAGCTGTGTTTTCCAACTGATCTAAGAGGGTTGTTCTTTGGCATGGTTAAAAATGGTTCTTACGGAAAGCTCTGGGGCTCCCTGTGGCTGGTATATGGGAATGTTCTGTACTTACGGAGTCTCAGTGAGTCTCAATGTCTAGCAGCAAGCATCAGTGTGGACACTAATGAGCTTTGGAATAAGTCACATTTCCAGAATCTACCTCCTGTTCTTTCTGCGTTAGCTTTTAACCTCTCTAAGCCTGTTTCCTCCTCTGTAACAAGATGATGTAATCTCCTGAGGTTATTGGGAAGATTAGAGATATGGGGTATACTAAACTTGTATGCTTGATGCAAAGAACTGCTTGGTGCTAAACAGCTATGCAATTAATAGATGTACAATGATTTTTCTTGTTAATTTTCTTTTGTCTTTCAATTCTGCCTTAACCATGTTTCATATTGAAAACCATATCACAACAAAAGGAAACAAAATGCACAAATTACCTGGGGATAGAATGCTCAGATTTTTTGTAAATATTGAGATATTTGTAAACTTTGTGTAACATAAGAAGAGCTATTTCAACCAGAACTTTTTTTTTTGCAGGTTAAAGGGGTGTCTAATAGTAGTTATGCTGGGACAACAGATATAAATTGGGAATATCTCAAACAAACTCATAATATGATCACCCTATAAATGGCTTCACTTTTCCTGTTATATAATATTTTATTTTCCAAAGACTAATTTTATTAAATAAAAATAAATTCCTTGCCATTGTCCCACAAGCATCAGTGAATCCTAATTTTCAGTGGTCTTTGTATCAAACCATGTTCTTGACTTTTTAGCAGCCTGTGTCCTGTCACTGTGGAGCTCTGCTCTGTCTTTCCTGAAACATAGCAAGCAAACCAGCAAGTAGAGCTCGAGAGAGAACTGGGCACTGGGGAATATTTAAGCTAGGTTAAGTGTATTTTAGATACTCTCTGTTCCTTTTTCTGATCCCATTTGTAGAAACAATATACTCTACTTGGGGCGAGTTAATATTTTGTTTTCTTCCCAAGACCTGCCCCAATGATGCCTAGCACTTTTTGTTTACTCAAGGATTCAAAAATACTTATTGAGCATTTACTATGTTTCGGAAACTGTTATAGGTATACATTAGGGAACGAAAGAGATATTATCCTACCTTCATGGCGTTTTTTTTTTTTCGACTGGTGGAATACTGCGTGATCAAATTTATAGTTTCTCATAGTTTTTTCTTGGCCACAGATCAACCCCTGAAGCCAATCTTTTCATAAATAAGTCAGATTAATTTCTGGGGCTCCTTGATGCTTTTTGGGCCTATTTTAATACATTACAGCATTATTCCATAACCCTGTAGTTGTCTTATTGGGTCATTACCACAGTTATTAAATGTAAACGGGTCTAGTACTGACTAGCCCTGCTGGCCAGTAACACCCAGTTCAAGGAAGTGACTATTCTCGCCTTTCCTGACGTCCTTTCACTTAAGAGAGGCACTTGTCTGGGGACCGAGGGTCCTGATGATGTGTGTGTTTTTCAGTAGCACCACACTCTATGGGTTCAGAAGGTCTAGCTCTGCCCCAGGGTTCACAGTGTGCTGTGGCCTCTGCCTCAGCTTTCTTCCTTCATTTCCTCCCTCCTGTCTCCTGGCATATGTGCTTTGAATACTTGATGGAGTATCTGGCCAGAAGTCATTTAGTATATTTTGCTAAGTGTTGTTATCACTTGAGATTCTGATCTATCAGAGACTGACAAACCCTAATGGCGTTTCTCTTTCAGAGGAAAACAAACCCACGAGGCCTGTGATTGTGAGCCCAGCCAATGAGACAATGGCAGTAGACTTGGGTAAGTGGGCTCCAGTTAGGATACACTGGAATCAGTTTTTTTTTTTTTTAACATAAGAGTAAGAAAAATTGTATCTTTACTGTATATAATCTAAGCCATTTATTGAATATATGTGTAATTTGAGGGAAAGTGACACAAATTATATCTTAATTTTTTGCATTTCTTGCCTCTATGACAAACATCTTGCCATGTCTGATATCTCTACTGCTACTTTTCTATGGACACTTTACCATGCAAACACCAGCCAGACACCAAGGTCAAAAGGCCTAGGAACCAGAAATGCCATTGACTGGTAAAGCATTGACTTTCTCTTGACCAGAGCCAAGCTTTGAGTCAGAAGGGTAAGGCTACAGGCCCCAAAGATGGTAGTCATTCTAGAAAAGTACTTTTCAAAGTTACTGGACATTTTTTATTCAAGAATAAAGAAAGAACCCCACGAACATCTAGTTCTGCACTGTTCAGTGCAGTAGCTACTAGCCACATGGAGCTATGGACATGTGAAATTAAATTAAGTCAATTAATTCATTTTGTTAAATTAAAAATTAGTTTATCTGTCACATTAGCCATATTTCAAGGGCTTTATAGCCACATGTGACAAGTGACTACTGTATAGACAAGCACGAATATAGAACATTTCCATCATCACTGAAAGTTCTATTGGAAACCACTGATCCAGAGAGAAAAAAGTGATTCTTTGTGTTAGGCTGGCCTTGGAATTGTCCTCTGTAACAGTAACTACATGACAGCAGTCAAGAACCATGCATAGGTTAGAAGGTACATGTTTGTGATCTGTGAATTCTGTACTTGGCCAATTCTGTACTTGTTTTGTTTTTATGTGGGAGGTGGTAGAAAAACATTCTCAGAAGGAAACAAAAATGTCAAAACTCAAAATTAAATATGTGCTGATAGACTCTAGAACAGTGTTTCTCAACCATTTTTTTTTTGTTTTAAATTATTCTCCTTTAGAGCCTAAAAAGTCTTCCTCCACCTAATTATCTTTCCTGTCTTCAAATTTCAGTACCACAGCTATCTTTTATATCTGCTGATACGCTGTGGCTCCTTGGAGTGCCACAAACTGTGTAATATCTAAGGTTTTCTTGCCCCTTCCCCAAGAACCAGTTTTTGCCCTGCTGGCCACAGCCCTGTTGAAAATGCCTTCTCCAGAAGTTTGTAATTCAGAGCTCTGTCACCTAGGCTGCATTGATCTCCCAATCTTAAAAAGAAAAAAGATTCAAATTAGGAAATAATTATTTTAATATATTATTAAATATATGACAGTGGATATAATAATATATTATATTGGCATATAGTACCCTGTCATAAGTTTATCCTGAAGGGTGTTAAACAGGCATTCTGTAAGATCCAATACCAAGTACTCATAAAGTGACTTAGAAACATAGGAATTGAGAGATAATTCCTTAACTTAATAAATAACATCGGTGCAAGCCAATAGTCATCAACATTCTTAACGGTGAAATACTACAGACCTTCTCACTAAAGTCAAGAGCAAGACAAAGATGCCCACATAACCAGTATTACTGAACACAGTCTAGAAGTGCCTAGTAACACAATTGAAGGAAAAAAGCAAGGTATGCTTACCACAAGAGAAAAGACATTTTTCTTATTATTTCCAGATCTTACAAATCCCAGGAAAATTGCTGGGAAAAACTAGAATTAATTTTATATTAATTAGTCAGATAGCAAATAAACATTTAGAATTAACATTCTAAAATATAAGACTTATTTAGCAATAAGCAACTAGAAAACATGATAGGAAAACAAACCATTTGTACCAGTAAATGTCTTAGAAGTGTCCATAAAATATCTTAGAAAAATTTTGAAAATATGTGGAATTTATAAGAGAGGAAAAAATTCAAAAAACCAAAACCCTGAATATAAGTCTCAGAAAAACTGAGATTTAAAGCATGCATCCATCTGGGTGCGGTGGCTCACACCTGTAATCCCAGCACTTTGGGACCCCAAGGGGGATGGATCACTTGAGGCTAGGAGTTTGAGACCAGCTTGGTTAAGATGTTGAAACACTGTTTCTACTAAAGATACAAAAATTATAGGCATGGTGGAGCACACCTTAAGTTCCAGCTGCTTGAGAAGCTCAGGCATGAGAGTCACTTGAACACAGGAGGCAGAGGTTACCGTGAGCTGAGATCACACCACTGCATTCCAGCCTAGGTGACAGAGCGAGACTCTGTTACTCTAAAACAATGCAGTTAAATAATGGATAGAGGCATAACAGTTTTTAAAAGCAAGGCCGATGAGCACCAAGCTAACAAAAAGCATGTTGATTCACCATGAATTCAAGAAATGTAGATGAAAATTTAAGGGACATTTTCTTCTCTCAAATGGCAATGTCTAATCAGAAATACTTGTTATCAGGAGGTTTTGGCAGAAATGCTCATATACACTATTGGAGAGAGCGTAGACTGATATAGCCTCACTAAAGACAGGGGCTTAGCTTTTAAGATAAGTTTCTTTAATTCAATCTTACTTCCAGATTTTAATACTTCAGGACATGTACAAACACTGATGTACAAGAATATTCATTAAAATATTAATCATAATAATGAAAAATTAGGAAATTGTGTTCATCAATAGGAAAATAGTCATAGTGTATATGTATTATGGAGTACTAAGCAGCCGTGACAGTCTATTTTGGAAGACAAATCATGTGGGCCCAAATTCCCAATCCACAGTAATTACAAAATAGTAGGCAATAAGACCTCATTTCAAAAATTGCATATTTTCACAGAGAAGGTAAGGAATGAGATACATAGAGTTACGAATGGTGGTTTTCTCCGGGTGGTGAGTTTAGGGCAATTTTCCTTTTTCTTTTTGCATTTCTATATTTACAATTTTAATTCAATAGCCATTTATTAATCTAGATGGATCAGAAAAAAATCCGTTAATGTTATGGTTAAAAATACATGCTTTGCAGGATCCCAGATACAATTGATCTGTAATGTCACTGGCCAGTTGAGTGACGTTGCTTACTGGAAGTGGAATGGGTCATTAATTGATGAAGATGACCCAGTGCTGTGGGAAGACTACTACGGGTATGTCTGCTAAGAGTCATTCACAGTTTGATATTAAATCCTACGTGGTATTTTATATAACGTTGTTGGTTTAATGTAAAAGCAAGTGTTAGTTGGCTGATTGGTCGTAACCCTTGCTGTCCAGTTTTTTTTTTTTTTGGCTAAACTAAGCAGGATTTATAAGATCGATCTTGAACATTTAAGGTAAAAAATACATGCCACTGTGATGCAAATTCCAGACCACTTAGAAGCCTTTCTCTTAAATTGTACATGTTGCATCATTTCAACGAAGCAATTATCTTTCGTTATTATATATGTTCCTTAAGTAGTTTAGAAGCCACTCATTAAATGGGCTCCAGAATCAGGCAATCCACTGCTGGGTTCCTACTACGCATCTATGGGACAAGGATCTACTGGCTTCCCCTGACCTCTCCCTCACGTCACCTGCAAAGCACTTTGTCATCTGCCCCAATCTCCTCTTGTTTGATATATTTTTCTCACTGCCCCATAGGGACCACAATGCATTTTTCTTTTTGGAAGTGGTAGTGTTTTGCTTTCTCTGCTACTGAGCCTGTTACTGACAGCGGTCTTGAGGTTGTAAAATCTCAGATTAGCGTTGCCAACAGTCTGATTGTTTTGACTGTGATTGGGCAAGATGATTATTTCAGCTGCAGTTTATGTCACAAATAAGGAAATATACAGGGTATACATGTCTTATTTGTAGTTGATGCAATTTACTTACACAAATTTATTTGCTCTCTCTCTCTCTCTAACAGTGTGGAAAATCCTGCAAACAAAAAAAAGAGTACCCTCATCACAGTGCTCAATATATCAGAAATCGAAAGTAGATTTTATGAACATCCATTTACCTGTTTTGCCAAGAATACACATGGTGTAGATGCAGCATATATTCAGTTAATATATCCAGGTAAACAACAAGCTAATTGAAATGCAATTTTGTTTTACTGTGGTAAGATTCCATGACCTTGACGTTTGCATTGCCATTTCCTCTGCTTAGAACACTCTTCACTCCCTCTTTACCTGGATAACGTCTATTCCTCTTTTACTACTCTGCTGAACTCTCTCTTCTAGGAAGCTTTTTTGTCCTGCTGCCTGCCCTTAACCCAACTCTTGGCCCAAAGAGAGGACAGTAGGGCCTCTATATGTACTTCTGTAGCACCAAATGTCACAGGATCTATTGTACTTAGTTTTCTATCCTTAACTGTAAGTTTTGTGATGGTGGCAAGCATTTATCTTAGTAATCATTCTGTTTCCACAGCTAATGGCAAGTTAGGTCTGGTACATTGTGGATATTTAATGAATATATATATATATATATATATTTATGTACAAGTATTTGTCAATTAAAATTTTTTATTTTTCTCCTCCTCCATCAATTAAAATTTATATATATTTTATGATTTAAAAAATATATTTTATATATATGTATATATAATATTACATTTTAGGTTCTGGGGTACATGTAAAGAATATGCAGGATTGTTGCATAGGTACATATATGGAAATGTGGTTTGCTGCTTCCATCCTCCATCCCCTATATCTGGCACTTAATGAGTATTTTTAAGTAAATGATTACATTGATGGATGCATAGGGTAAGACTAAATATCCACTTTCAAAGAGGATAGCAGATGTCACTGGGTTTCATGAATTGGTATAATAAAACATAATGCTGAAAGTATTTGTGAAACATTTTAAGGTAATTTTTGGTTTAATTAAAAATAGGATATTATAATTGCATATATGAAAGAATATCTGAAAGACCCTATAAATTAACTTCTATGTATGTTTAAATACCAGCAGCATACAAATAGAAATTACATTTAAAAGATAACATTTACAGTAGCATAAAAAAATCATCAAATTCTTAAGAATAAGTCTAGCAAAATCTGTTCAAGACTTCTCTAATACAAACAAAAAAATATTGAGATAAATTAGAGAAGAACTAAATGGAGGGATATACAATGTTCATAGATTGAAAGACTCAATATTATGAAGATGTCAGTTCTCTCCCAAATGAATCTGTATTCAAAACAATTTCAATCAAAGTCTCAGCATATTTGTGCAAGTGAGCATTGGTGTTTGTATGGGTGTGTTTTTGTGGACACCTGTGAAAGTCCTAGGGAATCGTAAAGGACCAAGAATAGTCATGGTGGTCTTAAATAAGAAAAATACATTTAGAGGATTAATACTACACATGATCTTGTATGAAGCTACAGTACTTAAGACTGTAAATGTGAACTATCAATTGGGCCAGCTGGATATTTGTCTGGAAAATGGTATAACTTGATTTCTGTTTTGTATCCAAATCATCTAAATTAGAAAAGTAAATAAAGCTTTTAGATCCTCTTTTCTGGGTGCTTACATGGTTCCTGATATTTAGAAGGTACTTTCTTTTTCTTCCTCTTTCTTATTCTCTAGCCTCCTCCACATCACCGGCTCTATCTGCTCCCTGACCTCCTCTGAAATTATTGGACAACTAAGTAGAGAAGGAGGCCAGGATAATGTGGAAATGTGAAACTTCCCTAAGCCTCTAACTTTTTCCCTTTCCACCAGTCTTTGGCTTTACCCAATGGACTCTCTTACCTCTGGGAACTTTTGTAGGGTTTTGAGTGATTTTGACTTTTCCCTGTTTTACTGTGGAATGCTCTGTCTTGTGGTCTTTGATATTTTTTTTTCCATGTTATTGTATATTATGCTATTTAGGTAGAAACTTCATAGAATGCACCTTGGTTTTATATAATTCATACTAGATTGCTTTGTACATTAGTATCCATTACAAAGTGATAATAATGAAAGAGTTAATACTGTCTGAATGTAGGCCAGTCCCAAATATGGTCTCTCTGAAATGCAGATATTTAATTTACTGTGCCCAAATTTTTAATTCTTTTTGGTGCTAATATTTTTTCTCTTCTTTTTTTTTTTCTGTAGTCCCTAATTTCCAGAAGCACATGATTGGTATATGTGTCACGTTGACAGTCATAATTATGTGTTCCGTTTTCATCTATAAAATCTTCAAGATTGATATTGTGCTTTGGTACAGGGATTCCTGCTATGTTTTTCTTCCAGTAAAAGGTATAATTTTATATTCCATGCAGTATTTCTTGTTGGAGACAGGGGATAGTTAGGAGATATAGAAGAGGGCTAAGAGGGTTTTCACTTAAGTTCTAAAATGAAAGGTGGCATACACGAGAATAGTAATCTTACACAGAATTATAGTTGTATAACTCATTAGGCTGAATATCCTTGTTTTCTAAGTTCCTTTCTCAGCATTCATATTGGTAGAACAAACAGGTATTTAAAGCATCTGTTTATAAATTCAGTTATGCAGAAGCCATTGGGAGACCTTGCTCCGTGATGAGTAGAACAGACATAGATGATATGCCTTAATGCAAGAAATGAAATGACTAGATCTTCATACATCAGGGAGGCATTCTCTCTCTCTCTTTTTTTAAACTTCACACACACACAAAAGGAATAGCAAAATATCTAAAAAAAAAAATGAATGGATAGAATTCAGGGCTGAGACCTTTGAGGGAAACGTTGAGAACAGGGAGATTTTAAGGATGGCTCCATACGAAGAGGATGTGAGGCAGCCACCAAATAGAGGAACAAATTTGCAGTAAAACACAAGAAATAGAAACCTAATGAGAGATGAACACTTTTAAAAGGGATTATATTTTTGGTATTGCTGCTTCAACCATGCCATTGTATAAAAAAAGATTAATAGTTCATGATGTAATGAATGTTTGTGATATTGACTTTATCAAATCTCTTATTTTTGCCTTGCGATTCTAAATACATTATGTTTTTCCTTTAGCTTCAGATGGAAAGACCTATGATGCATATATACTTTATCCAAAGACCACTGGAGAAGGGTCTACCTCTGACTGTGATATTTTTGTGTTTAAAGTCTTGCCTGAAGTCTTGGAAAAACAGTGTGGATATAAGCTGTTCATTTATGGAAGGGATGACTATGTTGGGGAAGGTATGTATGTAATGGAACAAAGTAAAGGCTTATTGTTGTAAAATTACTTGCTAAAATCTGGCTTCCATCTTTCTAGAAGATTGTGGCATAGGTGTATATGTTTCACAATTCTAAGAACCTTTTCAGAGGTGTATGATGATTTTTACATTTATTAAATGCAAAATATTTACTTCTCTCATATTTTTTCAGAGCAATAATTTAGTGATTTTCAGTTAGTTTTGAAAAACTTAATGGCTAGTTAAATCCAATAGTTGCTTTACAACTGATACAACAAAACAGAAGTGGGAGAGATCAAATGACTTAATAATAAGTTTCTAAAATTCCAACGAAGATTTCTAGTTCTAAATGAAATATTTGTCTTTTGAGGGCCAATTTTTAAGTGAGTTGATAAAATGGGAAGTTCGCAGTGGCTCGTGCCTGTTATCTCAGGACTTTGGGAGGCCAGGGTGGAAGGATCACCTGAGCCTAGGAATTTGAGGCTGCAGTGATTGAAGATCATGCCACTGTACTCCAGTGCGAACAACAAAACAAGACCCTGTCTCTAAAAATAAATGAATGAATAAATAAATAAACTCCTTTAATTTTAAGTAAGGCAAGAAAAAGGTGTTAGGAGCCATAGGGTTGGGAAAAGCCATAGGGTTGTGTAGCTTTGGTTCAGAAGAGAATGATGATAAATAGAATTTTACTTACTGCATTGTGCTTCCTGTTTTTCAGACATTGTTGAGGTCATTAATGAAAACATAAAGAAAAGCAGAAGACTGATTATCATTTTAGTCAGAGAAGTATCAGGCTTCAGCTGGCTGGATGGTTCATCTGAAGAGCAAATAGCCATGTATAATGCTCTTGTTCAGGATGGAATTAAAGTTGTCCTGCTTGAGCTGGAGAAAATCCAAGACTATGAGAAAATGCCAGAATCTATTAAATTCATTAAACAGAAACATGGGGCTATCCGATGGTCAGGGGACTTTACACAGGGACCACAGTCTGCAAAGACAAGGTTCTGGAAGAACGTCAGATACCACATGCCAGTCCAGCGACGGTCGCCTTTATCTAAACACCAGTTACTGTCACCCGCTACTAAGGAGAAACTTCAGAGGGAGGCTCACATGCCTCTTGGGTAGCATGGAGAAGTTGCCAAGAGTTCTTTGGGTGCCTCCTGTCTTACGGCGTTTCAGGCCAGGCTGTGCCTCATACTGACTTGTAGAGTTTATGGAATGTAACTGTATCTTCCTTTATCTCTGAGGTCACCTTTAATCAGATTGTTAAGGGAATAAGCCATGGCGTCAATAGCAGGCCAGGGAACTTTGAAGTAGAGGGCTTGGGAAGATCTTTTAAAAAGGTAGTAGGCCGGGCATGGTGGCTCACGCCTGTAATCCCAACACTTTGGGAGGCTGAGGTGGATGAAGCACCTGAGGTCAGGAGTTCAAGACCAGCCCAGCTAACATGGCAAAACTCCGTCTCTACTAAAAATACAAAAATTAGCTGGGCATGGTGGTGCACGCATGTAATCCCAGCTACACGGGAGGCAGAGGCAGGAGAATTGCTTGAAACCAAGAGATGGAGGTTGCAGTGAGCCGAGTTCATGCCACTGCACTCCAGCCTGGGCAACAGAGCAAGACGCTGTCCTCCCACCCCCACAAAAAAGCAGTAAATGCCTTTTCTGAATGTTTGAACTGCCAAGAAAAGGGATGGAGACAGCAAACTAGAAGAAAGAGCATGCAGGAAATGGTCGCCATCTATAGATGACTTTGTTAAGTCATCCACAGCCCAAGGGTGGGGCTATGCCTTGTCTGGGGACCCTGTAGAGTCACTGGCCCTGGAGTGGCTCTCCTGAGCGGCACAGCAGGCACAGTGAGATTGACACCTCACTGAGGAAGGGAGACATATTCTTGGAGAACGTTCCATTTGCTTGTATTTTCCACACACATCTCCAGCCAGAAGTTGGTTTCCAAAGACCAAATTTTACAGATCTTGAAAACTGTCACTTCAGTCAAAAAAGGGATTCTCCAGTATTCCAAGGTTTTGAAGTCATCTTCGCTTTCCGCAGAAGAGAGAAAACTTTAAAAAGCAACAGTAGCAGGGAACTGATCCACTTCTTAATGCTTTCCTCCCTGGCATGACCATCCTGTCCTTCGTTATTATTGTACATTTTACGTCTTTGGATGGACAGCTCCCTGGTGGCTTCCTTTCTCTGCATTGTCCCTGGCACAGCTCATGCATGAACCATCCTTCCTGGGGTGCTGCTCTTCTGTCATCCCGCTCCTGCTGAAGCACCTCCCGGTGGCTCCACCTGTTCAGGAGTTGAAGCCCATGTTCTCCCACCAGCTTGTCGCTCCCTGCTGTGTTTGCCAGCCTCCCCTCGCTGTCCCGCTGTGTGAATTCCCAGGTTGGCTTCGTGGTCGTGGCACCTGCCCCCAGCACTCTTCTGTCTTTGCCCTTGCCTGGCCCCTTCCTCCTCCTCTGCCTAGAAGGACTTCTCGCATTTTCTCCAGCTGATCAGAATTTTACTGAAATTCAGAACATCCTCCAATTCCACAGTTCCCAGGAGACTTTCCCTAAGAGGCAACTTTCTCTCCAGCCCTCTCTTTCCAGTCAGGTCCACGGCAGTGATGGCTGTGAGTGTGTCATGGAGGCTGGTCTCTCTCCAGCTGGAATCGCTGCACTCTGTAGGAGAGGCTGTGGGTGGCTGTCTCTGTCCCCCACTGCCTTCCAGGAGCAATTTGCACAAGTAACATAGATTTATATAGTGCTTTATTGTTAAAAAAATTCCCCAATTATCTTATTTAATTTTTGCAATTATTCTAATTTTATAATAGAGAAAGTGACCTAGTTTTTTTTTTTGTTTGTTTTGTTTTTTTTTTTTATCACACTCTAAGTTCCATTGAACCCAGGACTTGAGCCTCCATTTCTGGCTTTTAGTCTGGTGTTCTAAGTACTTGACTTCAGGTCAGTAACTGTCCCCCTCACTCTACACTGGCACTTTTGTGAGAGGAAATGACATTTTGCTAGGAAGTGACCCAGTGTAGGAATGCTTTTATTTAAGACACCAGATTCCAAACTTCTGAATGTTGACATTTTCAAAAATTATGTTTAGATTTTATGAAAAAATTCTTCTACTTTCATATATTCTTTCCCTAAAGGCAAACATTTCTTAGTCCATTGAAAATGAAGGCACTTTTTTTCGATTTTATATATATATATATATATATATATATATATATATATATATGTACATATATATTAAATGGGATGACAGGCCTCAAAAGAATTGGAGAAACCCTGGAAAACCACAAAGCCAAATTTGTATGCCACTGATTGTAGGGCACAAGCACAGTTTTACAAGTTGTATGAACATGGACAGGCCTTCTGGTGTTTATATTTCTGGTATTTAATATGAGTGAACACAAATTTTATTTGGAATAATAATTTTCCTCCTAAACAAAAATACATTGAGTTTAAGTCTCTGAGTCTTGCCTTTCTACTTGCTTTCTCCTGGGTGCTTCTCTGTCAGCTTGAAGGAACAATGTTTTTCTGAAGCTGCTGTTCCAACAGACAGAGCCTAGCTTTCATTTGGCACACAGACTATAGCCAGAAGCCCATGGAGCAGGGATGCCATGTCCCGAAAAGCTTATTAGATGCTTTACAAATTTAATTTTGCAGATTATTTTAGTCTGTCATATAAAAAATGTATCGGCATGCATAATGCCAAGAAAGCAAGCCAATTTAGAAACTTAGATTAGTGACAAAATTGACCAGAGAGTGGGGGTGCTGAGGACCAAGAATTACAAGTAGCATGGCACCTGGAATTTAAGGAGAGACAAGAATCAATGGGTAAAATTGGGTGGAGGAGGGGCCAAACAGAAAAGTGCCAAGTCATTCCCCATCTTCCAAGGGTTGGATTCTGGAGGAAGAAGCATCATTCCTAGTTCCCCCTGGACTTCTTTGACTTACTGTCCCCCACCAAAAACAAAATGAAACAAAAAATCTTTAATGCCTTCCACATTAATTAGATTTTCTTGCATTTTATGGAAGTTTTTTAAGATAGCTTAAGTGTTAATTACCAGTTGTTAAAACTGGTTTAGCTCAATTTGTATTTTCTCTCTCTTGCCTTTCTATTTGCAACAAAACAAAAGGTATTGAGCCATGTTTTAAATGACATTTTTGATAAATTATATTTGTACTGGTTAATGATGAAGGAGTTTTTAAAAATCTGTTTATATAACTTTGCAGCAGAAGCCAATTTTTTAATATATTAAAACATCAAATTCATGTACAGCATGCATCATGGATCAATAGACTGTACTTGTTTTCCAATAAAATTTTCAAACTTTGTACTGAGTGTTTTCCTTGAAAATCTGTTACTTGTCCGGCTCACAGCTTACCTGCACATTCCCAGGCCTGAACAAGGTGAGGAGACCTTCTACAGAGAGTTCTTCTTGATGTGGGAAGGGGGTGGGGAGGGGTTGGAGAAGAGGAGGGGAGTGGAGGTCAGAGGTTATTGGCTTAATAGTGAGCCCTAACTCCTTTCTTGTAGCTAAACTCGACTTCATCTGCTCACTTGCTTCTAAAATGGATTAAAATGTGAGCTACCTCCTTGCTGGGCAGGGCATCTTTGAAAAAAGGCAGCAGCATGACAGAAACTTATAAATAAAGCCCCACCTTCCTGGGACAGAGCACCTGGGAAAAAAAGGCGTTTATGAGTTCTGCTGCAGCAGACTTAAACGTACCTGCCCAGCAGCTCTGAACGGAACAACGGAGCACACAGCTCAGCACTTGAGCTCTTATAAAGGACAGACTGTCTCCTCAAGTAGCTCCCCAACCCCTGTATATCCAAAGAGTCACCTCATAAAGGAGAGCTCTGGCTGACATCTGTCAGGTATCCTTCTGGGACAAAGCAGAAAAAGAAACTGTCAGCAACCCTTACTGTTCTGCAGCCACTGTAAGTGATCCTCAGGCAAGCAGGGTCTGGAGTGGACTGCCAGCAGTCCTGTAGCAGAGGGGCCTGATTATTAGAAGGAAAACTAGGAAACAAAGAAATAACTTCATCATCAATAAACAGGATGTCCACTTAGAGACCCCATCTGAAAGTCACCAACTACAAAGACCACAGGGATATAAATCCACAAAGGTGGGAAGAAACCAGCGTAAAAAGGATGAAAACACCCAAAACCAGAATGCCTCTCCTCCTCCAAGGGATCACAACTCACCAGCAAGGGAACAAGACCGGATGAAGAGTGAGTCTGATGAATTGACAGAAATAGGCTTCAGAAGGTGGGTAATAAGAAAATTCTCTGAGCTAAAAGAACATGTTCTAACCCAATGCAAAGAAACTAGGAACATTGAAAAAGGGTTTGATGAAATGCTAATGAGAATAAACAGCTTAGAGAGGAATATAAATGAATTGATGGAGCTGAAAAACAACACTAGAACTTCATGAAGCACACACAAGTTTCAATAGCTGAACAGACCAAGCAGAAGAAAGGATATCATATATTGAAGATCAACTCAATGAAATAAAATGAGAAGGCAAGATTAGAGAAAAAAGAATAAAAAGAAACAAACAAAGCCTCCAAGAAATATGGAATTATGTGAAAAGACCTAATCTATGTTTGATAGGTGTACCTGAATGTGAAGAAGAGAATGAATCCAAGCTGGAAAACACTCTTCAGGATATTACCCAGGAAAACTTTCCCAACCTAGCAAGGCAGGCCAATATTCAAGTCCAGGAAATACAGAGAACACCACAAAGATATTTCTCAAGAAGAGCAACCCCAAGGCATATAATTGTCAGATTCACCAGGGTTGAAATGAAGGAAAAAATGCTAAGGGCAGCCAGAGAGAAAGGTTGGATTACCCACAAAGGGAAGTCCATCAGACTCACAGCAGTTCTTTCAGCAGAAACCTTACAAGCCAGAAGAAAGTGAGGACCAATATTCAACATCCTTAAAGAAAAGTAGTCTCAGCCTGGAATTTCATATCCAGCCAAACTAAGTTTCATAAGCAAAGGAGAAATAAAATCCTTTACGAACAAGAAATTGCTCAGAGAGTTCATCATCACCAGGTCTGCTTTACAAGAGCTCCTGAAAGAAGCACTAAACATAGGAAAAACCAGTACCAACCACTTCAAAAACATACCAAATGGTAAAGACCATCGACACAATGAAGAAACTGCATCAACTAATGGGCAAAACAAATAGCTATCATCAAAATGGCAGGATCAAATTCACACATAACAATATTAACTTTAAATGTAAATGGGCTAAATGTCCCAATCAAAAGACACACACTGGCAAAAAAGTCAAAACCCATCAGTGTGCTGTATCCAGGAAACCCATCTCGCATGTAAGGATACACAAAGGCTCAAAATGAAGGGATGGAGGAAGACTTACCAAGCATATGGAGAGCAAATTAAAGCAGGAGTTGCAATCCTAGTCTCTGATAAAATAGACTTTAAACCAACAAAGATCAAAAGAGACAAAGAAGGACATTACATAATGGTAAAAGGACCAATGCAACAAGAAGAGCTAACGATCCTAAATATATACGCACCCAATACAGGAGCATCCAGATACATAAAGCAAGTTCTTAATGCCTTACAAAGAGACTTAGACTCCCATACAATAATAGTGGGAGACTTTAGCTCTCCACTGTCAATATTAGACAGATCAATGAGATAGAAAATTAACAAGGATATCCAGGACTTGAACTCAGACCTGGACCAAGCAAACCAAATAGACATTTACAGAACTCTCTACCCCAAATCCACAGAATGTACATTCTTCTCAGCACCACACCACACCTACTCTAAAATTGACCACATAATTGGAAGTAAATTACTCCTCAGCAAATGCAAAAGAATGGAAATCATAACAAACAGTCTCTCAGACCACAGTGCAATCAAGTTAGAGCTCGGAACTGAGAAACTAACTCAGAACCACACAACTTCATGGAAACTTAACAACTGGCTCTTGAATGTTGACTGGATAAACAAAGAAATGAAGGCAGAAATAAAGACGTTCTTGGAAACCAACGAGAACAAACACAAAAGACACCAGAATCTCTGGGACACATTTAAAGCAGTGTCTAGAGGGAAATATATAGTAATAAATGCCCACATGAAAAGCAAGGAAAGATCTAAAATCAACACCCTATTGTCAAAAATGAAAGAGTTAGAGGAGCAAGATAAAAAAAAAAAACCAAAACCTAGCAGAAGACAAGAAATAACTAAGATCAGAGCAGAACTGAAGGAGATAGAGACACAAAAAGCCCTTCAAAAAATCAATAAATCCAGGAGCTGGTTTTTCAAAAAGATCAACAAAATAGACAGACCACTAGCCAGATTAATAAAAAAGAAAAGAGAGAATAATCAAATAGATGCAATAAAAAACGATAAAGGGGATATCACTACAGATTCCACAGAAATACAAACCACCATCAGAGATTACTACAAACAACTCTATGCACTTAAACCAGTAAACCTGGAAGAAATGGACACATTCCTGGACACCTGCACCCTCCCAAGCCTAAACCAGGAAGAAGTCGAAACCCTGAATAGACCAATAACAAGGGCTGAAGTTGAGGCAGCAATTAAGAGCCTACCAACCAAAAAAAGCCCAGGTCCAGATGGGTTCACAGCCAAATTCTACCAGACATACAAAGAGGAGCTGGTACCACTCCTTCTGAAACTATTCCAAACAATCCAAAAAGAGAGGATTCTTCCCAAATCATTTTATGAGACCAACGTCATCCTGATACCAAAACCTGGCAGAGACTCAACAAGGAAAGAAAACTACAGGCCAATATCCATGATGAACATAGATGCAAAAATCTTCAGTAAAATACTGGCAAACCAATTGCAATAGCACATCAAAAACTTATCCACCATGATCAAGTAGGCTTCATCCCGGGGATGCAAGGCTGGTTCAACATACGCAAGTCTATAAACATAATTCACCACATAAACAGAACCAAAGACAAAAACCACATGATTATCTCAATTAATGCAGAGAAGGCCTTTGACAAAATTCAAGAGCCCTTTATGCTAAAAACCCTCAATAAACTAGGTATTGATGGAACGTATCTCAAAGTAATAAAAGCTATTTATGACAAACCCACAGCCAATATCATACTGAATGGGCAAAAACTGGAAGCATTCCCTTTGAAATCTGGCACTAGACAAGGATGCCCTCTGTAAC